GCATAATAGATAAATATTGATAATTTTTAGTAGAACTTTGCAACGCGTAATGATTCGTTCCTGTGATTGCATTACTTAACGGTAAAGTATTACTACAATGCTGCATAGATGTACATCTATCGTTCGTTTTTCGTAGTTCTTTGCTTTCAAGTACACATATAGATTCGTAATTGTGCTTTTATTACCTATTTTAAACTAAATGGACATTCAAATGAATCAATCCACAAGTTGATATTTACATTGTGATAAAGCAGATAGGTTATCTGTGAAAAGTCGATTAACATACAATAGGTCATGGTCAATAGATTTTGATAACATTCAATCTATTGATCTATATCTATCTATCACGTGATTAATCTTTAATTATTCCCTGTTGACCTATCGCATTTGATATACCACCTTAAATGTTAAAATAGTCACGTGATACAACAAACTGCGTAGAGAAATCTAAAATTAGAATGAAAGCAGATACGATACGGCACATAGCAGATTGGTTTGGTTTGTCAATACTGTATAAAACAGCTAGTGTTTGACGATGGTGATATTATGTAGTATCAGTGTGTACAATGGATAGGTGGTAACTAAATGTAGTATAGTGGAGATAAAAGGAGGTATGTAAGTCAAGGTTATATCGCTTATGTTTATGTTTGGAAACCGTTCTATATTATAACACAGTATCGGCTATTGGCTGCTAGTCAATAGTGGAATAGTATGTCTCTGTTCGTGTTATATCTTTATGTACCGGGTGGGATAGCGGGGGCGGGCAATGATGAAATTATTGCAGACTACCTTGATATAGTTAAATACAATCATGGCAATGGCTGTACAGATTTTTTACGAAACAGTTTCATCATTGAATATCAGGATGTCTGGTTCCATCAACCTTTCCACCTTTTGTAGCATGTTTTCACCAAATGAAGTATGTAACCAAATGAATCGACAATTTGAATGGAATTGTGTTGTAGCCTGCAGATAGTCACTATTGTCAGAACAGTTCCGTGAAGAAAATCGTGATTTAGACTGTTGACTTATTATCTCATGATCACGAAGACGCCTGTAGTAGACAGGTAGATTGCTACTGATTTGTCTGCAAATTTTGTTCTACCTTACTGTAATATTTATATCGAGCAATCTAGCTTTGGTTCCACACACCAAACGCCGCAAACACCATAAATTTGACTTAAGAATGATAATAGTCTAGGAATTGCAGTACAAAATCTTTGAAGGTTCTTCACACTCAGTCACTGAGCAATATGTTAGTCAAAACATTAGTCAATAAAAATATCAATGAATTGTAATTAAACTTGTAAGGGCAAAATCTTTATAATTCTTGTCCATAACAACACTTTTATATTTTCTGACCCGGGTAAATTATAATTATGTTTTCTGTGTTTACTCATGTTGGCGCTGTTTAGTCAGACCGTTTGATAATCTGTATTTTATTAGAAGATGAAAACAATTCGCGCATAATTATGATAATTTCAAAACTTCTCGATCTTATGGATAATGATTAGTATTTTAAATTATATTGATATGAATTATGTGGCAATGAAGCACTTCTATTTTTGCAAGTTTCTAAATTAAAATAATGTACAAGCAGGTAAATGTCTACAATCACAGAGTCCAATATGTTTTGTCAAGTTAGCTTTTACTAATATGCCCAAAGCATAGAGAAAGTTGTCAGATGAGTTGTAGCATTTTTGCCATTAATTTAATCGGTTATTTATAAGCACAATAATCTTTTAATATTTTTGGCCTTACTTTATCAGTATGCAACTTCTTGCTAAGACTTCGAGATATTGTCAAATGCAATAATAATACTAATGGTTAAGCAATAATCAAATAATCACATTTACTGCACATACACTACGTCACATATTGATATGTTGTCCATTCAGTGTTTGGTATAGTTGTACCTTCGGAATATAATGTAGAAATTTCTGGGAAATTTAGGCCTATATGCTCATTTCGTATCATTTCGTGTGTATAATAATTGATAAATTTTGACTTGTTTTACACATTAATATATTTGGCAACATATCGTGGAATTTTGTGTAATATTGTAACTTCATCAAAATAAATTTACTTGGCTATGATGTTTGAAGATCATAATTGCAACTTTTTATACGCCCACATGAAACGCCAGTGGGCGCTATTATCTTGTTTGGCAAGCTATCTTGATGACTTTTTTTTTTTACAAAACTAGAATATCGGTTAAAATTTGCTCTACCGTATTATTCTTTAAAACAGCAGTTATACGCAATTGGGAGTGGTAAGGCCATAAATTAAATTATGTTGTGCAGAATGCCTCAATTCCAATAGACCAAAACATTTGACATTAATTTGTTGAGTTAAAACTAAAGAAACACGACTAGATATCAAAGATTTTTTTGTGTATATCTGGAATATAAGTTGTAATAATTAGCGATACCATGGAAACAAGAATCCTGATAATTATACTTCCTGCATTGACAAACACATTAATTAAAAGAATGACGTCAATAAGATCTTTATATGAGATATGATATCGTATTTTGTGGTATTATTATATGACACATACTGGAGAGAACACAATCATTGTCATATATATTTACTATTCCATTATTCCATTTAATGTGAGTTTTGGAATTTGATATTGTATGTTGATTTTATGTGACATGCAATACTGTCTGCAGTTGATTTCTAATTTATTGAATCCATCCATTCATATCGAAACGCACGATTACCGCAGCCTTCCTTGTTTGCGTGGCTTCATTTTGTTGTTTCCTGATCATATGAACAAATTTGTGTTTGCCTTATCTTAATACAGATCATCAGATTGTGTAACATCCCATCACATCACATGACGTTACCTCGACCCATCTGATTAAGTATTTACCAGACAATTTAATTATACATTCTCGGCTCTGTAGATTGCCTTTTCTCAGCACAGAAGCTCATAAGATAACGTTTGCACCAAATCTTTAGATTGTGTACCACCATTCAAAAAACGTCAGTCACCTGACTAGACAGCTGATACCACTTTTCATACTGAAACACTTACTCTTTTATACTTGATATACTTCTTCATATGAATTGTTCATATTTGATGCTTTGATACTGCCAATATCATTTATACATTCGTATTATTTTGGATTCGAATTTCGGTTCGGATCGTTTGTACTTGGGTTCTTTATTCCTCATCCAGCCTTCAAGACAAATATTGGTATTGTTAATAGTCCAGTACTTGATGTTATTTTTTCACCTTATTATATGATATAATTTAATAAGGGAATATGCTGTAAATTGTATCAGAATTGACGAGAATTATTTAAAGACAGATATATTGCACAGACACTATGAATTATTATGTAATAGTACACTAATTTTCCTTTGGTATGAAAACATCTTCGTGCGTGCATTCTATAGGATACAAGAAGGAAAAATCGATTCACAGATTCTCCGTGTCTTATGTCTTCCGATTATGAAAGAGATGAGACGGACGTGTGTGATAGAGGGTGTTAAAACTAAATGACTGAACTAAATAACTATGAAAAAACCTCTATGAATGAAATGTGACTCAGTAGGTCAAAGTCTGACACTATTTATATACTATAGTCAATGAAAACCCGGTTATGGATGGGTATGAGTACATGTGAAATTCCTTTTTAATCTTCTTCCAAGTGATAAATGGTGTGTGGCTAGTTATTTTATATGTTACAACACTCGTGGTACGATTACTGTTTTAATAATAGCCTTACATTGTTAGGAATAGCCGGAAGTACTTACAATACAAAAGGTTAAGTCTGCCATGGGTAGTTGACAGTACTACAAAACAGGAAATGTGTATCTGTTTTAACTGTTGTGGTGAATCACTATAAGGGTCTTCGAATATCAATCTTTTGCCTCCGTTGTTTTGACGAATGGTCGAAACTGGGCTAGAACTTATGTTAACGTAAAAAAGTATGTGTATAAGTGTAAGATTTTTTGGGCATGTTACAAATATTTTTTGTATAGAGTTACTGAGACGGAAATAATTAGGTGTGTTTACATCATTGAAATAGTTTGTTTACATAATGGATACCGTTGGATAGAGTGATAGCATTTTTATGGTTTGGTTGTTTTTACGAAAATGGACAGTACTTTGATTGCATGGAATTATATATTATACACACAAAATTAATCGAATAGATTTATTTAGTGGGGATGGGTTGTTTTTGTGAAAATGTTTTAAACATTTGTATAGGAGAAATTTATGAGAGGTGTGGAGATAGACTTCGATTTAAGGATCTTTAGAAATACAACGGACAAATGGTTACCATAACTTGAATGTTTTCTTGTTTCTGCTTCAATCTAACTTTGATCCACTTTCATTACCTAATTTACATATCATTCCATTCTCTGTAAGCAAGATCACTAACCAATTGTTAGTTTACGTCTCCTCGCCATAATAATTACCAGTTGCGTATGACTGCGATTAATGGAAGTTGTCCTGTGTTTCGAACGCAACTCACAACTCAGATGCATGCGAGTTGCGTTCGAAACTTTTGACCGTAATTCTTATTCGCAACGATACGCATCTGGTGATCGCTATGGTGTGAGGATCACTTTATTTGGGTCACACAATTTTTTATGTCTGCCACCACTCACGACCTGTCTGCCCCGAACAACTCGACCTGGATTATAACTTCAATAGTAGTGAGGTTTCTGTCGTACATTTCATGTATGGTTTCAATTGATAAATGAATGTTAACATAGAAACCATACAATATGTTTCACAGATATATATCACAGATCCACTTCCATCTCGAAAAAATCAGTCACTATTGCTATTCGACTCTAAATGCTGAAAGTTAGTTTTTCATTGATGAGCGTACCACCGTTTCATTAATGTCTTTCGATCGAAATTGATTTAAACTTTAACTTTTAAGGATGTTCTTAATACAGGTTCGCAATGAAATACAACCTTATCTGTATGTGGTGTATGTACGTGTGTTATTGATATATACATACAACTTTGCAGGAAACTCCTTGACAATCTGAGGCCATGACAGAGAGGACAGAGGAGACCATAGAGGATGACGAGATCGGTAAACATGACCACAGCAACAAAGATTCCTTGTTAAAATCTGATACAGCATCAGTCATAGAACGTCAATCCAATGATGGCAAAGATGAGGATGAAGATGAGGATGAAGGACTACCAATTGATAGAGGCTGGGCATGGGTTGTGGCAATAGGTAATTTTATTTCTATGACGCGTTTGTCTTTATACTGTCTATGCATACCGTCCAGCAGAAAGGGAGTCATGATTTAAGTTCTGGCAACGGTTGTGTTGTTGATAAACATAAATCATAATTGGTGGCTAGAATGGTTAGAATAATTACTTATTTCAGACAGCTTTGATCCTTAATCAAATATTACCCCCACGCAACCTAAATATTAAGCACTCGAACATGACCTGGTGTTGTTTCAAAATATACAGAATATGATGCTTAATTACTACAATATTGAACAGTAATCTATATAAAATAAATATGATGGTTAAATGATAGTTTATCGTTATGCTTACAGCTGTTCAGATCAATATAGCAATAGTAATTGGATACACCAGAGCTTTCGGCATACTGTTTATAGAGTTCTTACAGTCGTTCAAGGCATCGGTGGCAGAAACGACGTTGGTCACTGCAGTGATGGCTGCTATCTTCGGAATTTCAGGTAACATTGCTGTTACTACTTTTATCATTTCTCTTAATGACCCTTTGGAAATAGGTTATCATTATCGACCACTAAAGGTCACTGCGTTTTCTTTAAAGATAATAAACTATCTTGCATTATCATGTTGCTGGTTAGAATTTTACTATTCAACAATATCAGGCAAAAGCAAAATGAAGAAAGTTTGACGAAATATAAAGATTTATAATGCCGTTCAAATCAAGAACGTGAGGCTTTTCCCGCTTCTTATTACATATGTGTGCTTGCCTAAAAATAATTTTTAAGGATGCCGTGATCCATCTTGCTAAAATATCATTGATTATTTTAGCACTCACTCCCATTTCTCTTTCTCTTGCAGTTTTTATATCAATGCAAGTATTAGTTGGAAGATTCCAGGAACGAACTCTAGTTATGACTGGTGGTATTATAGCTAGTATGGGCATCATTACTTCTTATTTTGCTACCAATGTTGTCGAACTCATACTTTCTCAAGGTATCTTTTTAGGTAAGTTAAGTCATTAAGTGTCTGGGACATGTTCGCCTGACTATTGTACTTCAACACCGTTTATCAAATTGTTTATCAAAACATTGACCTTTCAAGTACAAATAGTAAAATTATCTGGCTCCTGAACGACATTACTATATCAACTCTTCGTACTTCGACTCAAATATTTATCTATCTAAATTCAACCATAATCATACATTTTAACCTAATATCGCAACAATTTTATCGGATAGCTACTTAACCGGTTGGGGTCAGCTCACTAGATTTATGAATTGAGTAATGTCTTTTTGGTGGTTATGGCCATACAATTACCAAAGATACTGAAATACATGTTTTTTTTTCTATAAATCGTAATAAGAAACAAAGGTGTTTGTTGCAAAGTTCACCTCATTTTTTTGCAGTATTGATAATTATAGTCGTTTGTAACTATCTTATTGGCATTCTTTTATTAAAAGAAATATCCAGAACATAATATTGAATGGTAGATTGAAATTCTCACTGAGATAATCTGTATTGCAGACACCACCTGACGTGATAAATCTAATCCCCATTCAAACAGCTAATACCCCCAACATGCATGAGATGATCTTTTCGAACTTATTATTCACTTATTATTCTCGTGAACTAAGAAATCGTTGCATGCTGTCGACACGTGCTCCGAATACAAATCTATCAACAGAGTAGCTAGCTTTGATATTATGGGAGTCAGATTTTCAATATAAGACCACAAACTCAAATATAGGGTCAACAGAATCAGTAAGTAATAAGACTCTACATCCTTATTAGCATTATAATTTACAACATGATATTTTACAGGTATTGGTAATTCATTGATACATGGACCGGGTTTGGTTCTAGTTGGCAAGTATTTCAAAAAGAAGAGGGCATTAGCTAATGCTGTCGCTAACAGTGGAATAAGTGCTGGTTCCGTTCTCTTTCCTCCTCTGGCCAAGGCTCTCCTAGATGCTTATGGTTTAAGAGGCACATTACTTGTATTGGGCGGAATAAACCTCCATGTATTAGTTTGTGGAGCACTATTACGACCTTTAAACACTTTCAAGAGACATACATCCCAAAAAGTAACTATGAAATCCACAGTAACACAGGAAACGAACATTGGTCAGGTAGATACGTTAAAAATCAGATCACACCCCGAGGACGATGAGGTGAAAATAGACAGTGAAATCCATTCAGTACCACTAGTGTCTCAAACGTATAAGACTGATTTAAGGAACCATTCTGAAACTGGTGATCGCCTTGAAGAATTCCAATCACAAAGTGATATTTATTCCTTCGTTCCACCCGAAACTATCAACAAAGCCGAGAGGAAAATGTCCCATTCATCTAGTGTTTGTAATTGTCTCAAAAACTTTGGTGGAAGTTTAGGATTTTACTTATGGAAAGATCCTACCTTTATTTGTTTAATATTAGTGACTGCATTAGCCATTTTTCTGATTTTATTTTTAAATTATTTCCCTGCATTTGTCACTGATAATGGCACGAGCGAACAAGACGCTGCCATATTTATTTCTGTAGCTGGGGCTATTGACTTTTTCGCGCGATTAGGCGTCGGGTTTTTTGCCAATGCTGGTTTTGTGAAGCGGAGGTATATATGTGCCTTCGGATTATTTGTTTCCGGTATAAACTGTCACATGTTGAGGTTTTATACGACTTATAAACTGCAGTTAGCGGGTATAATAATATATGGTTTGTGTGGTGGTATTTACAACTCCTTCATACCTGTATTATTGTCAGATATTCTCGGTGTTCAACATTTAGCTAAATCATTAGGCTTTACAATGATTACACATGGTCTTGTTATCAGTCTTTATCACCCATTAGTTGGTAAGTATCAATATCACATTATTTAAATTACTCATACCAAGTACACTAGAATGCAGTCAACCTGAAGTTATTTGTCTCAAGTCACTTCTCTCATTATATTCTCTCGGTATTTTTGTAATATGCTATAAAGATAGGGTTTTCACGATTATTACAGACGAATGAGTAAATAATGTTATATGCATTTTTATCATGGCAGACTAAGGACAGTTATTCCACTTCACGACTTGTACAGTATTTATAGAAAGCTCAAGGCACAAAATTACCTTTATATTGTTCTAAATTTGTAATAATTAGTATTAGATATATGTGCCTGGGGATGACGAGATAAACAAGTCAAAACGTTGCATAAATCTTTAAACCAGTGATTGTTGTTCCATAATGCTGTCTATATATCGTACTTACAATTGATAAAAAGGATAATATTTGCATTGTTTTGGTAATGATATTGACAAATTGTTAAACAATTGGACATCACATCGACCATTTAATGGTATCGATTTTGTAACTAAGTATTCTATTTACTTTTTATCAAGAATGATGTAGCCAGTTTTATATCGGTCATTTTTAGTGCAGGAGTTTTAAACCTTTTACTTCCCCCCCCCCCCTTGAAAACTTACACCCTCTTGGAATGAAATTTATGTTTTTGTAACCTCTTTCTATTTACAGGCGCTCTAAAAGACATAACGGGGTCCTATATTACATCTTTTCATGTCATGGGAACGTCAGTGATATTAGGCGGCGCCTTGCTTCTAGCAGAACCATTGTTTGAGAAATGCAAAAAAAAGTTAAAGGAGTCTAATGGCGACGTCAAAACAGATGTAATGCTGCCGTAACTTGTCTTCACATGATCGTATTAAGCTTCCGTATACTGCCAGAAATCATCGGAGCTATCTAAATATATAATGTTCCACGGGTATAGATGTCATTCCCTTACTGATAGAAACATTATCTCTCATCTAATATGGTGAATCTTGGCAACAAAGCTGGATCTAGAAGCCGAGAAGGTCGTGCACCGCATGTCTTGTCATTGGTTAGAAAGGGTATCAAAAATCCACAACATAAATTGTCACCTTGTGCTCAAATATATTTATTAAATCAGATCTAATGATGTAGAGGTAGAGTAAGTGACAATGTAATAATTCACATATTATTTCCTTTCTTACTTACTCTAACGAAAAATTGCGCATATGAAATATGTTTGACGTACATAAATATATGTGTTATATATGATATATTAGAAAAATCGTGAAGAAAATTTAATAGGTATATACTGTTGTGTGGTAGTAAAATTGTAAATGTGCGATAAGCGTTACGTACAATTAACTGTTAAGTTATGATGTCGCTTGCCTTCAATTATCATCGCCTTTATTGTTGAACTTGTTGAATGTGGTTTGTTATTGAGTAAAGTTGTTTCTACGTTTCAGAATTTTTGAATGAAGCCATTGGGAAGAAATGGGGCAACAATCTTGAAATGATGGTCGAGATGACGTACTAGTTTTTGCGCATTGACAGTTGGCTTTGGTTTCAGATTGAATCTTTTTGCGGTAACAATAGAAATGGAAGGGGGGGGGGGGAGGGGTTGTTGGGATACATTCAGTAGTAACAGACCTGTTGGTTATTCAATACCATATGTTAATTGTATATGGAAACCAAAATAAGGGTGATAAGAAACTAAACGAGGACAAATATTTTAAATGACTGTCTCATACACACCATCTTCCAGTAACATTGTATACAAATCTGTTCTGCTCTCAAAGAAAATGACATCAAGATTTGTTTGACGGAATGGTTACAGCCACTTATATAAGTACAAGTACCAATAGTTTCAACGTCTTCATTTATAGTGACTTACGTTATGTATTTAATCAAAGTGACAAAAACACCGTAATCCAATGATGTAATTTCCATTATATGTTGTTGTTACAACCACTCTTATCCAAATAACAAATTATTTTCAAGGGAGATAACAAGCATTATGAATGTTAATTTGTTTAAAAAAAGATTCCAGTAAATTTCTGAACATATGCAAAAATGGCGTAATAAAATGAATCTCTTACATCTACCACTGAAAGATTTCCTGAAGAGCGAAAGACAACATAATGTGTCACGGAACCATTACAGTTGAACGTCCTTCTCTTTCTGCTCTTGTTTTTCAACACATTTACCAAATAATGGTTCCATTAGCAATAAGACTGCCGCTAATATTAGTAATGTCCCCATAAAATGATAGGCTGCTACATAGGACCCAGTGAAATCTTTCAAAGCACCTGCAAGACACAAATAATACTTTTATATGACATCGGATTTGACAAAGCCAATTTAGGATTTCTTTTATCTGTTATGAGCAAGTATATTTCTCAAGGCATGATATGCTTACTTCTTCCAAAATTTGCTCTATTCTATTCACAGTTACGCGTTGCATAAATTAAAAACAAAATACAAAATAAGACACTTACCAACAAGTGGATTGTAAATACTCAAAGCGCTGCCTAATATAATGAAATTAAATCCCAGGGCTTTGGCCATTTTCTCCACACCCAAGAAATCTGGTATTAAAAGTACTAAAAATGAGGTGAAAATACCACCAAAGAGTCCAAAAAGTATAGTTCCCATTAACTGTAGTCCGTAGGTAGTGTAAATTCTCACCATATGACAGTTAATACCCGTTATTATTAATGATATCACACATATATAAGTTCTTTTGATACATCCAAAATCTGAGATGTAGCCTGCCCCTAATCGAGCAAAGAAGTCAATTCCCCCGGCTATGGAGAGAAATATGGCAGCGTCTTGTTTACTGGAACCCTGTTCATACATCAACACTGGGTAATAATTCACAAACAATATACCAATAATACCAAGGAAAGACGTGGTACCAATTAAACTAAAATATGGGTTCTTCAACACTGAAAAATCTATGTTTTTAAGAGGATTTGTACAGCCAGTAGTCTGATCTTTATTAACCTCATCAGTTACCATCAGGACCCCTTTAAAATTATATAGTTCACTTTGAGAATGTGCAAGACTACACTGAGATTTAGATCGCTGGTGAATGTTAGCCGTGCTTGATGGTGTAAGCTGAAATTGTGTCATATAGGGCTGTATCTCTTCACACGATTTTGATTTCCTTCGAGTATCCAAAGCGGGATATGTCTCCAGTTCCTTTGATTTAACTAACTTTGCGTTATTTAACAGAACATCTCTCTTTATTTTAGAGCGCTTGAAACTCTCTAGTGGTCTCATTAAACAAGCCATTGTGACTATATTGAGTTGAATTGCACCAACTATGAGCAGCGTGCCCTGAAGACCATACTCATCCAAAAGATATCTCATTAATATAGGAAAAGCCACCGACCCGACACTTATACCACTGCTTGCTAAACTGGTACCCAAACCACGACGCTTTTTGAAATATTTACTAATTAAAACATAAGCAGGGCCAGCCATCATAGAGTTGCCACAGCCTGAAATAAAATAAGAATATGTATATAGAAATAATAAAGCAGACCTTGAATCATATATGTGTACATAATATATGCAACTACATTTCTAACATAATCTGATGGCTTGCGTCTCTGTAGGAAAATCTAAATGATAATCAACTAAATGTCATTTCCAAACTATGTCCTAGTAATGTTTTTAAGTATCCGGAATGCGTGACGACAGCATGAAATCCTAAATGTTTATTATATCGAGCATTTGTTATTATGACAAAGGTCACATGTAAATAATAAACATATACTGAACAGATAAAGGATCGGCGCATTTTTAGATTATTAGGACAAAGTCGTGCACGATCAAATTTTTTTTTCTTTATAAATATGATTTTTAGACTTTAAAAAGGCCAGTTTATTACATAAAACTAATAATATCGGTTGCGTTCGATTTAAGAATTGTGAACCTTCAGATGTCAGATGCCCACAGGAGCAAGTTGTAAGGACCATCGAAATGCACGTGCAGCACGTACCAGAGTACTGTATAAAAAACAAACTGACGCCTACGGAGAATTCAGTTGCTTGGAAGACATCGAGCTCATGGCACGTCTAACCTCCCAACAACATAAACAAGCCATCGGACGACGTGCTCAAGTCATTGCCAATGCATTTAACTGAAGTGTACGAACCATTGAGAGACTTCTGATTCAGCACAGATGACCATCCACGTACTGGTTGTCCCCGAGTCACAACACCAAGACAAGATCGCTATATCCTGCAGCGACATCTGCATGACAGAGTCACCACAGCGGCCACCATCACCAACCCATCAGTGTTGATACCGTTCGAAATTGGATCTCCTCCCAGAGCCCGTCTTGTCGCCGTCCATACAGGGGTCTGGTGATCACTCTCCATCATCTTCAGCAACGTCTTGCGTGGGCCTCCCAACGACAACATTTGCGGCATCGGCAGTGGAGAATCCACGTGTTCTCAGATGAGAGTACTGCATTTCCACCGCAGATGGCTGAGTACAAGTGTGGCGAAGAAGTGGTGAGCGTTTTACAGAACAGTGTTTGGTTGAAAGAGATCCATGGGGAGGAAAAGGCATTATGGTATGGGATGCAATCGGCATCAATCAGAAACTTGGAACTGTTGTCTTCCAGAATATCGGTCCAGGCAAAGGTCATGGAGTCACAGCCGTCCGTTACAGCGACCAGGTTCTCCGACCCCACGTTGTACTGCATTTTGCAAAACCACGCCTTCCAGCATGACAACGCCCGTCCACACACTGTCGTAGCCTCCAGAGCCTTCCTGCAACAGCATAACATCAGAGAAATGCCATGGCCCTCACTCAGCCCGGACTTAAACCTAATAGAACACTTGTGGGATGACATCCAAAAAACGACAAAAGCAGATCTAACCGCGTTCAAGATTTGCAGCAGAAGTCAGTGCAGCTTTTTTAACAGTCTGGGTGCAGATTCCAATGGCGTCTGTAAATCGCTCGTGTCACTCCATATACAGAAGATACCGGGTCGTTATCAACGCACAAGGTGGACACACCAGATACTGACTTTCAGCCTCCATCTGTAAAGATCACGTGATCAGAACCTTGATATGTCATAGCAATAATTTGAAAGACACTCAAACAATCTTTTGTGCCAAATGTGGTTGTTTTCTTACAATTATCTATTGTTTTATTGAAATTTGAATAAGCAATTCACTATTGTCTGTGCTTTGTGGCGTTTCTTTATCTGTTCAGTATTATGATCGCAGTTGTAAATAACATCTATCGGAACTTTGGCGTGTAAGAGTATTTTTGGCCTACTTCATAAAATGACTATAATGGGAACCCGTCTTAAACATCATTGAAGGTCATGGTTCGCAATTTTAAGGGTCTTGAAGACATGTAGGTAGTCTGTAGAAGGACTGTAACTGCACTAAAATCACTTCAAATTCCTTCAAAAATACCCCTATCTAGAAATCTCACTTTTAATATATTTCTCTCTCAGGTATATCCCAATGCTAAAAATCATGGCATCCGAAAGTTATACGTTTAATTAATCTAAAAGGCTTATGAGAGAAAATACGACGGTAAGCTGTGAACGCTATTACTGCTTAGTTAAGCGGAACAATTTCCTTTTTGAAACAAGGTTATCCCGAAAATGGCGAATCTGGTCTTTTTGCTACCTACCAGCAAGAGCGCCTTGTAGAAGTATAAGCTGGACTATATTTGTGGCGAAAGCTGAACCAATGATAGCTATTGATGCAATGGTACCCCCTATCATAATAATATATCTTACTGGTATCCAACCCACTAATACCTGCATGGATATAAACACTGGAATATAACAAATGTTTACATAGGTTAAACTTCAAACATGACCAAATTTCTTATAGAGGCATCAGAATATAAATTATTACAACTGTGCAATTAAGATGCTGATCAGTATGTTAACACAAAATAATTGTACAGAATATATTAATTGTGCCATATGTCACATTATGTATAGTACATTATTAAGTAATGTATATTATCTGAAGCCTACAATACACAACAAATAAATGTACAAACTATAATCACCTGAAAATCCAAACACTCCGGCACTTACGCCACTTATTAATGTTGTTACGGTTGTGTTGGTCTGATAAACACGTAAAAACTCTATAAACAATAATCCCATTGATCTTTGATATCCAACCTTTAATAGCTGGATCACAAAAGTAGCTGAAATAGATATATGGAATAATGATGTTTATCCCAAACAGTGCGATCTGAATCTACATGACTTCCGAAAATTCTAATTTAATTCATTTAAACATTTTAATCAAATTACAGCGACGAAAGATACCACACGACACCCTAATAACTGACAGAAGTACAAATAAAGGAATATAGAGATTTTACTGAGACTCGTGAAATTTATTTACCTGCGACAAAATATCTATCATTCACCTGATAATGGGTTGGTTGAAAAACGACACTGTTTGGTGAGAATATATAATTTTTTTTATCTTATTCCTTCACGATTTTGACATACAATTATAACACACACAAAACCAAGTACATAATCTGCTGCTTTCAAATAATTTCTGCAAATATCTTCATCCCTTTGAACATTGACGAAAAGTAAAGAACAACATACCCATAGAAATTACCCAAGCCCAACCTCTATCAATGGGCAATCCATCATCATCGTCATCATCTTCGGGATCATCAACATCATCTTCGAGATCTTTCCGAGCAGCACCATCGAGATCTACCTCTTTCCCATTTATCTCTAACCTAACATCACAGCCCCTGCCAGTATCATCAAGCAGACCGTCTTCAACACTTTCATCTTCACCGACCATCAGTCCATTATCTTGATGAACCATATTTTCTGGATATATAAATTTTAAAAATAGTTCGCATTTCTGTTAAATGCTGGGATCGAGGTATTATGCTTTTCACAATGCTCTTTATGACGTCATCATCAACTAATTGAAAACATGGCTACTGTTACGTAGAGTCATGTCAAGATAATAGGCCTATATTTGAGGACTTTCTCCATGTGAATTCGCGTGATTTTTAATCAAGGCTGAACCGGATTGAATTCATTACATGCCTGCACATAAAACAACTATTACAAGCGTTATGATTTTGATTTTCCAATCGTAAATTTTTCTAAGTGCAACAACATTCCGCATTCGACCCGGCTGTAAATGGGTACGGATACCAGCTGGTAGAAAGGATCCTAACTGACTTGGACCTAACTTTAAATCCTTGTAAAATATAAATGTATCTTTCTTTTCTTTGTTTCTTTCTTTCGCCAGCTTATGGATTATAATGTGTCTCAATTGGTTTGATACACTAGAGCTTGTCTCTACAGTGATTCCCTAGCAAGATCGAAACATTTAACATCTAACCTTCTACTACAGCGTATTACCCAAATCTACTCAAAACTCCCCTAAAGAAATTTTACAGCCGTCATCATGAACTAATTAAAAAATATAAAATATCTCTTTCTACTATCATTGCTGATGCTTTTGTCTAACGACCAAGTTTAAACTTGGTTTTACACCTGTGAAATTTCATGTTGTCAACACAATAATGTCGAGTTACCACCAGAAAATTCTATAATTTAACACTAGTTTTTGTTTTGCCACCCTTCTTTAAGTTTAGTATTGAGCAGTAATGGTGGGTGCTCACTCATCTGATCACCTTTCATCATGTTATTGATGCGGGTGTCACAAACACTTTTTTTAAACAGAATATAACATTAATTTGTGATCAGTTTCCTCCCTTGAACTATTGAATTTCAAAAAAATATAATTTCATCAGTTACGTCCCTTGAACTTTTGAAATTCATCAAGTCACTATATTTTTTTTTGACATATTATTTAACACCTGATACACTTCCTCATAAGAAAAGTTCATTCTACTAATGATTCGCAAATGATATGTTGTTTGGTTTTCGGGTTTCCTTTCGCAGTTCGGCTTTGTAGACTACTTGGTATATTTATGCTTAGGCTACATTTGTTGGCAACCAAAAAGGAGAAATCCCACCTGAAAGTATCTTGAAATAGTCCTGTAAAAATAGCCAGGTCATCAAAACACAGAATAATAGACATTAAATGATAAATGGGGGCAAGTAACTTTCGTTCAGAAATAATTACGAATATTTGTTAAAAAAAAAGTAACAAAAACATCGAACAATCATTTTTGGTTCTAACACTGACTCGATTCAAAGGACAAAAGCGTAAGCATACTCGTATTTTGAGTCGACAGTATAATGAAATTAAATGGTGTTCTACGTACTACTTTACTGCACCTGTTTTGGCAACGCCATATAGTCTGAAACAAGCGCAAGCACGATGGCATCAGTTTCAGTATGTAACTGTCGAGGAATTGTTAATGTCCACAGCGGGCTGTTTCTAGTCCTACCCGAACAACTATATGCGCTGTCCTTGTCAACCACTGACCTGCATGACTGACCAGGTTAAAAAGAATAATCCTATTAATATATTATAGGCCTATTTCATATGTACTAAGGAACAAAGTACAATGCCTATAACCAAATATTATTAAGGCCGTATAACCAATATTAGCGTCATATAATATAATCATAAACGACTTTTACTTATACAGATAAGATAATAAATATTATAATTTGTATTACAGTGAGACAATCGATAAATCATGGGATTCTTTGACCTATATCGAGAGATAGCTGTTCGATAATGACATGACAATTTTCATCAGTTTACTGGTTATTCACACTAGATATTGATATTGTATGGTGAAAAGATATACGAAGTATACAGCCGGAATAGTGACTTACAGGTATAATACCTTTTAAACTGCACATGAAATTTAAATTATCAAACTACCAAACGTTGACAGCCTGAGCGTTTCAATATTTAAACAAGCAAATAAATAGAAAATTTCGGCAAGCGTCAAATAATTTTTCCGTTTTATTTAATTTAAACATTAGCAAATATAATGAAAGGTAAATTAACGTACCGTTTATATTATGTTCTCTCTGTTTTGGTCCTCAATGTTATGGTTGATAATGTAGTTCTGCTCAATCTGTCCTTATCAATCACCCACACTGAGTGTTTCTACGAAACCATTTAAAAAGCTTCTCCGACCACTTTCCCTTGTTGTTGTAATCACTGCACTTTAGAAAGTCAACAGCTAACTGTTAAGATAGCTTATTTATTCTAGTGGATATTAGTTAATATCGAATTGTTTAAGATAAGATACAGTCAGTATAACATGTAAACTATAAAGGTGGCGCTTGAATTCACAAAATATCGCTGTAAATTAGATACGTTGTGATACATCAGTATCAATTAGAAAATGTCCCTTTGAGTTCTCAAAGATGAATGTTTTCTTGACTAAATTCTCGGTGAAATATGTTACTCTAATTTCCACAATAGAAAGTGAGTCATGAAGTTCGAAATTGCTGCTTTCTAAATTCTACCGTGAATCAAGGTAAAGTGGACTAACCTGACGTGGTCCACTGGCTTAGAATGTTTAATAAAATGACCTATTGCTCCAAATAAGGTTAAAAGCAAACTACATGTATTCGTTATGCGTATTATCTGTCACAAAAGAACGAACACTGATTTTATGGGTCAAATGAAAGCAGCCAATCTTTTCATTTCAAAGGTAAAAAAATCATTTTATTCTATAAGGTCTCTGGCCAAGAAAAAGTAAGAATAGGGTGCAAGGATTGCATTTGATCTGATAGTTGATTAAAAAGATTGCATAGTAATTGCTTTGTTTTTCAAATTTGAACAATCTTGTGCTAGAGTCACATAGGCGTTGTATATGACACTTGATAGATGGCCTGAATCAAGAAGTGCGTTAGTAAGTTGACAGATAGTTGAGATCAGAACACAATTGGTCTGGTCCAGATGCTTCTGGTGTATTGATATCACTAATGACATTGAAATTACATTCAAAACACAATTCTCAACAGATTTTACAGGAACTTGGTTGAATCACCCGAACCTTATTGAAAATTGAATAATATTAAATATGGGTTATTGCCCTATTTCTTATAAATGTGTTCATTTAGCTCGTAAAACCCTTAGAAGACAGAATTCTTGACTGATTTAGATATAACTTGCTGAAAATAAAAAAAAGGCTTTGAATAAAGCTTGCGCAGAATGACAACGTTACTCTCAAAATATATCAATTATTGATAGCTCTTGTCAACCGCCTGGATGACTTGGCTGCCATTACAATGGTGGGCGTATTACAGTGGGCCATCGCAATTTTTCTAAGGTATTAACAGCTATGGAACGATTGTTGACCAACGTCAGTATTTCAGATTTTAAAACATCTGAGTTTTCATCAATTATTAGACCCATTGTATTTTATTTTTTGGGCATTTCTGAATCCGGTCATGGTTTTTGATTAAATGAAACTTTTTTCAGATATCGTACCAACAGATTATTGGTGAATTTTTTTCTGCATTTGATTCTGATTGCATTGATCATCATCTGGTCGAATTCTTTTTGGTTATAGGATTTGGCTGTCCTCACTATTTATCTGTAAAGAATGCAATGGTAAGCTGAGTACATTTTGTCACGGTCTTTACTTTTTATTGTTAAAGTTTCTATAATCTCTTTAACTTATTGATGATCGTAATACGAATAATAGAAATAACCTCGGATACTACAATAAAAATTTAATATACTCTGATTTCCAACTACCGAACGATAAGACACTTTTCACCAACAACTTAAAATACGCTCTTACGTGATAAGATAGCGGTCTTACAACAGGGTTATTCTGTATATCTCAACTGTAATCAGCTGATTTGAGGCTTTACTGTATATCTCAGCGTCAGCTGTAATCAGCTGATTCGAAGTGAAACAACAGGTTGACTTGACCAGTCGGGCATTCTATGGCTTGATAATTTGCTAATATATTTGATATTGAGGTTCAATGATTCAAAACAAATAACTATTTATTTTTACGTTCCTATTGGCACTTCATATCAATACTGTATATATTTTCTAAATATACAGGCCAGTAAATTACTGCAGTTGAAATACCGAGTAAGACTAAAGTTATATAGGCCTACCAGTAGCCTCACTGGATTGGTCTATTAACAATTTATATCCTGGTTCATTCAGTATGTCAGATTGAGGCATACTATATATTTTACTCTATTTTTAAGGTAAGATTAACCAAACCATGAGATCATTTTGACATAAGTCAATATTTGTTGCATATTAGTTAGTGTTTATATTGTATATGAATAACGTCGAAGGGCATATTTACATCAGCTGGGCATGAATAATTCTATTACGCGTTTTCTATAACATTTTGAAAGGTAGCTGGTATTGGCAGTTTCATCAAGACAATCCAAGAAACACTGTAAGTTTAATATATGCATAATATAGCTTTGAGTAAATGTGAATTACTTTTACAAGTACAATGTGGCAAAGAGTGATTCTCGTGTAGGGGGGCTAACGATTTGTATCCGGGGAATTTATCGAAATGTACTCTAATGATATGTATTATAATTTGCACCCTAGGTACAAATCAGTAGCCCCCTGCTCGACATCGACCTTATCATCAATATTACGGTTGTCATTTTTACATTTAACTGGCTTTTTTATAGACGAAGACGTGATATTTGGATAGATGATACTTGTTGATGATACCAATGACATTATAATATTATAATTAGTCTTACAGAAGAAAGAAGAGTTTGTTATTCGTCCCATGTCTCACCTGTGACGGTGTCAGTAATATTTGAAGACTGGCTAAGGTACATAAGAATACAATGAATGAGCTACTTGTCAAAATTCTTTTGATGATCTAGAAAAATGGACAAAAAAAGGGAAGAGAATCAACCATCATTTAATAATGAAGTAGAAATGAAGAAGACGAATGACAATGCAGAGAATACACCCAACGATGATTTTGACGACGGATTACCTATAGACCGTGGATGGGCCTGGGTCATTGCCATAGGTAAGTACGTGTATGTTAGAGTTTCAAATATTCCAAATAGAAATTTTAAAAAGATCGGATTTGATAAAATTGTTCTCATTAAACTTTGTACACGGGTAGTTGCTCATATTCCCTACCCTGGAAGGTATATAATGACATCATTATAACACAACACATGCAAATGTATGAGTTTTACGTCCTACTCTTCTGAATCAAATATATACAATAGATAACAATTACGTCTGGTGAAATGTTATTAAGATCTTGTGATTGCATAGGGATTCTCATGAACAGTACCACCGTAGGTGATTTGCTGCCAGAACTCGGGCATCATCTACCCCGGGTTAACCCTCGTGGTCTACCTTTGTAAGGCGGCACGGATGAGTATATTGGGTCAATTTTCTTATCACTTATTTTTCAGCCACACAATTTAATCAAATGTTAAAAGTTGGATATGCAAGAGCTATGGGACTATTATTCATAGAATTTCTTAAAGTATTTAAAGCATCGGCTACAGAAACAACTCTAATTTCTGGAGTGAAGGCTGGAGTTTTTGGACTTTCAGGTACACAAAATATGTGTCAGGCGTATGCTTGTGTTGGTTTAGTATGAATGAGAATTATAAGCAGATAAAACACCATTGGAATTGGTTACGACCTAACCAAAGGAAAGATGACATGGGAAGTATTTGTATAAAAAAAACCCTTATTGTCTGTAGCGAAAGATAGAATTTGGACTAAAATAGTATGTTATATACAATAATAAAATACTTGGACTGTTAAAAAACTCATATAGAAATATTAAAACCAAACTTTAATCATGTTAAAAATCTATGTAACAACATTTTTCTAGTTCTGTTTTTATATTTCTAGTATGTTATATATTACAGTATTTATATCGATGCAGATATTAGTTGTTAGATTACCTATACGATTTATTGTCGCTCTTGGTGGAACACTGAGTGCAATTGGTATCATGTCTTGTGCCTTTGCTACCGAAATACAGCAAGTTGTTATTCTCCAAGCAATCTTCATAGGTTTGTATTAGATAGTTTATATCACGTAAAAAACACTTAAGATTATATCATATACAGTATAGTTGAGGTTATCATATGCTATCCGTTTGTATTTAGGTAGTTTATATGGTATATACTTGACGTTAGCATACACTCTAGGTTTATAATTAGGCAGTCTATATGGTATACAGTTCAAGTTATCATACGGTATAAGCTTGTAATTAAATAGTTTATATGGTGTATAGTTCAAGTTATCATACGTTAAGCATTGTAATTAAATAGTTTATATTGTATACAGTTCAAGTTATCATACGCTATAGCATTGTAATTAAATAGTTTATATGGTGTATAGTTCAAGTTATCATACGCTATAGTATTGTAATTAAATAGTTTATATGGTGTATAGTTCAAGTTATCATACGCTATAGTATTGTAATTAAATAGTTTATATGGTGTATAGTTCAAGTTATCATACGCTATAGTATTGTAATTAAATAGTTTATATGGTGTATAGTTCAAGTTATCATACGCTATAGTATTGTAATTAAATAGTTTTTATGGTGTATAGTTCAAGTTATCATACGCTATAGTATTGTAATTAAATATTTTATATGGTTCATAGTTCAAGTTAGCATACGGAATATGTTTGTAATTAGATAGTTTATATGCTATATAGTTCAGGTTATCATACGGTATAAGCTTGTAATTAAATAGTTTATATGGTGTATAGTTCAGGTTATCACACGGTATGTGTTTGTAATTAGGTAGGTTATATGGTATATATATTTTTTGCATTATTCGGCTATCTAATGAATCAATATGATTAGTTAATTTGAGTATATGATTAAAAATCTTATCTTTTATTTTTTTGCTATGTTCACATAATGGTATTCAAGTAACATATGGCTTTAAAGGGGTATTCATTATCAAAAAGTTTTCATTATCAAAAAAGGTAAATTATGCCTGAAAATATTTCAGGTAATTAAAAACGGAGAGTGCTAATTGTTTATTAAGCAGTTTGGCCTAGTTTTGGTGTTTGGCTTTATAATGGCTCGATATTATGAGTTGAAACCTTTAGAAGACGTGGGAGATATTTCTCTACAATTAGGCTTTTATTTTACCCCAATGCAAACACTAGTTTTCAAACAGCTTCCAAAAAAGCATAACGAACTTAAAAACCTTACATAATGTTTTTAAATATTTTTGGAATTTAACAATTAACGGCTGGATTTTTTTAAGGTAAAATTTTCAGCTATGTTTCTCCAGATTTTGGTGTATAGCATTCACAAATTTGAGTCCAAAAAAAATTTGGAACTACTAAAAAAGCCCCTTTAATATAAAATCAGATGACATTGAAGAATAGGAGTTTCGTTTCGTGTTACTGTTCAACTTGTTATCCATGATCTTACACAATGAAACACAATAACTATGTCATTAAATATTTCACCGATCAAACGCCCTGTTTAATAAAGTAAGATGTCGAATGAAGTAACCTTTGGATAGCAACCTTCAGTAAATCTGCTCATAAAACTCAGTTCCACTTACTAAGTGATACATTAAAGGGATAGATACGCCAGAGTTTGACTAAAAAATGGATTTGTTTAGCTAAGCTTATCAGTAATAATGTTCAAAGCTCACCGTTGAAATTTGAAATGAGACTTGAAATCCATGTGTGTCCAGGATTATCAACGTTAGAAAGAAAAAAAGACGTATATAGAAAAAGAAAGAGAAATTCCATGTTTTATTTCTAAATGAATCATGCGATTCACGTATATTTCTATTATTTCCGAAGCCTTTTTACATATATTCAAGACCCAACTCAACTTAAAAATGGCGAATCTGTCCCTTTAATATTTGTTATAGATGAAATTTTAATTTTAGGAATTGGTAATTCTATGATCCACGGACCAGGTTTAGTTTTAGTTGGACAATATTTTAAAAAGAAACGAGGTTTAGGAACTGCTATATCTAACAGTGGTGTAAGTGCTGGTGCTGTTATTGTCCCTCCTATCGTTAAATTATTATTAGATCATTAC